TTGTGGACCAAAGCACCAGTAATCCACCTGAAACTGTTGGGTTTGCATTTGCGTCAGATGTTATGCGCAGGGAACGACAACTAATCCTCGTTCTACGCGAATGTGCCACATCCTACACTGCGGCGTGCATCATTACCGATGAGCGTGGCTCCACCCTGTGTGAGGCATTGATTCGTCTTTGCATTGAATTCCGTCCACTTGATGGTCTTCACGCTGTTATCTGCACTGACCCAGCTCCAGGCTTTAGCAGTCTAGTCACGGATGAACGTCTCCAGCAACATAGAATTACCCTAGAAATAGGCAGAGTGAAGAATGTAAACAAGAACCCAGTTGCTGAAAAGGCCATACAAGAATTAGAGGATGAGCTTGTGCGCCAAGACCCTGTACGGGGACCCACTACACCAACAGCTCTTGCCATCGCTGTCGCCCGCCTAAACACACCCATTCGTTCACGAGGCCTGTCTTCTCGAGAGATGTGGACCGAGGGAGACCAATTCACAAACTGTCAGTTGCCTCTGTCCGACAAGCAGTTGATCACAGAGCAACAACAACACGGTCACAGTGAAAAATCCAAGGTTCCTCGGAGTCATCGACCTGTTATTGATCAAATTGAGATTGGCGACCTGGTTTACCTTCATAACGATCGCAATAAAACATGTGCACGGAATCGTTACCTAGTAGTCGGCAAAGATGGCCTCTGGTGCAATGTCCGCAAGTTCGTTGGGACCCAGTTAAGCTCTCAGAATGTTTTAAAGTCCCCCTTTGGAACAAGACACGTGTGCATGAAGCGAACAGTGAGGACACATGTGACATCGATGATGACCCACCTGAGACACTTCACCAGACACCGGAGACTCAGCACATTCCTCTGGAAATTTCTACTCCTCCTCTGCCACCGCTTAAGGATGACGTGTTTGATGACAATCACCCAACCGACATCAGTTCTGCGTCGGATCAATCTGACCCCCTATTTGACCCAGGTATACAGTCATCTTCAACTTCAAGGCCATCGCGTCAACGTCAACGACCAAAGCGATTTGATGAATACGTTTTGGACTTTTGAAGTATTGTGTTTGTTTATTAAATGTTATGTTTGTGAGGGGCAGAATAATCCCCATCGACCAGAGGGCAGTCTACCCTATGATGGTTTACTTACCAATTGGTTTCATGGTTAACCAGAAATTGGATCTTTATTACATCATTGTTTACTTACCAAGTTGTTTTTCACGCCTATTTCCTTCATTATGGTTTGTTTAGATAACGTTTATCATGAAGAAAAAAAAGACAGTCACGCCAACGCAGGTTTGCTTGGCATGCTTTAATGTAAGCAGGGTTAGCTCCCCTTGGTAGCTCGCCTGTCTTGGGAGGCTCGCTTGGGTTTCGCGGTTCGTTTCGAGTGTTGCCAATAAATATCATCAAGTGTTTACCTGTGTCCTGTCGATGTGTGACAAGTGTACAGTTCCTTCTAACCTAACTGGCGCTAAACTGTTTACTCGAGAGAGCAAAGCCTGAAGGGATCACCCCCTCTTTAATTAAATAATCGCTTTTATCTTTAATAGTTCTTTGTCCATTGTACGGAATACCTAGACCATGGCTAGGTCCTTTAATGCGCCAATCTTTACTCGTAGAAACATAAAATTCATTACAAATACGTTCGAAGGCCCTCTTATTATAATGATTATTTGTGTGATTCCATGCTGGATCCAGCGGTAATAGAGCACTAATTTCTTTAAGTATACGTCTAATCTGATAGTACACGTGAAATAATATAACAGACTTATATAGTTTAAATCCTGGGGCATTAACAGATACGCCACATCCCGTTGTGGCACACCATACGGCAAAGTTTAACTGATTCTGCCAAAATTGCATCGGACGGTTAAACCAATCGTCCACCATTGTATCGTTAGTTGCCGTGAAACTGTATTTTTCAAAGATATCGTGGAATTTAACAGTAAACTCAGCACCAGAGGCAGTTACTATAATCGATTGATTAGAAATGTAAGTTGATTTCATATTTAAGTTATGATATAGTATCATTGTATATTTAATATGTATGTTACACTCCCGGGAATAACAAATGGTCCGTCTATTCAACTGCTTCATACTATCGATAACTCAGATGGACAACTCGAAGTAGCTCTATGCGATGTAACGTATTACCCGCTGTGGACCAATATAAGTGCTGCAAGAGGTAATAATATTATATTGATATTAAGAAAAAACGACTATAATATTGTTGACAAATACATTATTGTACCTGATGGGTATTACAGCGTATGCTCACTCAATGATGAAGTTTATTAAGCCTCATGGAGTTAGTATCACACAAAATGAGGCGACTGGGAAACTGAAATTCAACTCTGGAGAAAATAATGCAAAGATTTTAACGAACTTAGCAGTTACACTTGGATTTTTAGATGGAGATATGTCATTCCACAAGGCATGGTCAAAGGGACGTGCTTTACCCGATTTAATTCCCTATAAAGAGTTGTGCATCCATCTTGATCAAATCAGTACGACGGATAATATTCAACTAGAAAGTCCTTCAACTCTGCTCAGATCTATTCCAGTGAAAAATGAAAAATATAATAGCGGTAGAACGGAATCTTTCTCGTCATTACAATATAAAAAATTAAAGCGGGGTATTATTTCAGACCTCAAAATTTCTGTATTAGATGTAAAACACCAACCTGTACATATAGGATACTTAAGTGTAACACTCCATATTATAAATAATGGTTGATGCATCAGGCCCTGGAACGCTCAGACAATGTAATACAATTGCGCTTTCCGATCTCGGAGACACAGAAGGATTCGGTTAACCCGGTACTGATGGTAAGTTATACGCTTTACGCTTACACGATAATGTATACAATCGGAAAGAAGTTACATTCACGGGTAATCTAGAAGATTTAAGCGATGTCGACGTTGTTAGTAGACTCCTTAAGAAAACCACTTCGTACAATCTTACTCGCGACGACGATAAAAAAATGGACTATGGTCGAAGCAAACATCAAGTGGCTACTGAACATCGTCATTACCCCACCGTATGTGATGATGGGTAAGGCACATAATTTAACTAAGATAATAAATAGTGGGATCAAAACGAAAAAGTGTGTTAGTCTCTCCCCTGCCAGAAAACCCAGGTCATATGTTATATAGTCGTCCAGCAGTAAAAAATGTTAGTTTAAATTTGGTAACTGAATTCAATGAAATTAAAGTTAACTTGAGTGCAATACCTAATCTTTCTACGCTTATTATTGAAGTCTTAATATTACCAGGTCTATCGATTAAATGGCTCCAGAAACACGAGCGTCAACGTTGCAGTATTATTCATATTGGAGCATCGCCCGTTGCAACCCTCGAGGGGGTCCAAATTATTAAAAGTGGTAGTATTTCTCTTACTAAGATATTCTTGCCGTTTAATATACATTTAATAAGGTTGATGTATACTCTCAAAACATTTAAGCAAGACCAATTAAAGACTATTATATGATCGTAATATACACTATGGGTTTATATCCAGTGCTCGATGAAGCAATTGAAAAGATGGTTACTGTTGATGGATTTCGATTACATCAAATAAGCGACATAAAACATCGAATAGAGAAGGATAGGGAGTTGAGACTTGGATTGTATAAAATGTATCGCAGAGCCGTGAATGCTCTCGACGGAGTTGACACCGCGCTTGTAGCAGCTGGCATGGGACTCGGTGTAGCTGGTGTCTGTTTACTATCCACTATAATCGTCGCGCCTATCGTGCTCGGCATGGAAATAGCTGCTGGAGTCTCGGGACTGGCAGGAATAGCGATAAAATTCATTTCTCGTAGGTTACAAAAGAAAGCATTAAAACACGATAGTATTCAGATACTCGCCGAAGCAAAGTTGAACAGCATTGAGGATCATATTTCGACAGCAATGGTCGATTGTAAGATATCCGAGGATGAGTTTCGTTTAGTGCTGTCGGAACTCACCAAATACAACGCAATGAAGCAGGAGATTCAATCAAAATCTCATAAGACCAGTGGTATTAGCGAAGACGAGAAAAAAAAGTTCATAGAACAGGGGAGGCAACAAGCGCGTCAATTATTCCGTGCCAAAACCAAAGAACTGGTTGGAGATTAAAAATAGATTGCTTACTATCGTTAGATCACATTTAGTCAAATGCTTACATAAATATATATAATAATGGAGAAAGCTATTAAATGGAGAGAATTACCACAAGGTTTTTATTATATCAGTGATGTCAAACCAACCAAATACGGTTATCAATTGTTTCTTATCAATTTACAAGAAGAGTGTAGTTATATAGTCTGGTCTTCTAGTAAAATGAACGAAGAACTTAATAAAAATGATGAATATCGCTTTATTGATAAAAATAATAAAGAATATTTTCATTACCATTTAGGCTCATCTAAAGCATTGATTGGCCCCAGGTATTGGTGAGCTAGAGCCAATTTAACTTAATCTCATGACTATCATTGAATTGCATAATCATTTTGGCATAAAAAATGCCACCTGTAGTAGCAGTATAGGTATATGAATCTGGCTCCAGTGGAAGTGGTCCAGAACCATCATTACCTATACTACTGTATGTCATTAGGGTTAATTAAAGGGCACTGTGCAATGTTCCTAATCTTTGATTACTTTGAATACTGACCATTGCATCAGACTAAACAGTAGCCTGAATACAGAATACAGTGATTTGTGTAACTGTGTTACATTGAGGCGACGCTGCTGCACATGCTCTGACCAATGTGTGGTGGTTCAGGCAATAATGTATATAATAATGTTATATAAACATAGGTCAAGTTTAATAGTTGACCACCAATGGAGGTTTCCTTACCACAAAGATAAGGTCAAACTCAAAGGTCACATGATGATCCAACAACTTGTACTTCCAGTTGAGCAGAGATCCTAAATTATCTTTTGTGAAAGTTGGTACATTATTAGCTGTATGTAAACTCACCTATTTACTTTCTATTCTATGCTTACAGTACCAAGCTCCTCGTCCTAAAGTGAAAGGCAGTCCTAGTGGGTTATCCTCTGGTGTTGCTCCTGGAGTGCAGTCCAAAGTCCTCAGTTCAGCTGCATCCAAACCTGGTGAGAAAAGCATTGCAAGAAAACATGAAATCTCTGATGGCGAACTTTTGATTCACCTGGATCAAGATCAAAGAGAACCTGTTAATTCAAACCTCACTGAAATGTTTCTGGTCACTCTTCCTCAAAATGTTTTGATGGTTTTATTGTCTTCTCTTTGGGGCCCTATTTTTGTCAAGATTAGTCGAAGGTCAAGGTTACTATTGTCAGTATCTGAGGCATGGTTGCCTCTGCTATCTATACACAAAGAAAAAAGTTAAGCACACCCCTATTTCTGTACCATGACAAAAGGCAAAAATCATGGCATGGGATATGACTGACCACTGGAGCTGGGCAATACCAATGTCATCGTATAGAACAAACATTTGACAACAACAAAAAGAAGATATTGGTGATTTGTGATTGAAATTTACTGACAAAAAACATCATGGTAACACAGCTACTGTTTTTGACCTTAGACTATACCTAAAAAAAGTATGGAGCTGCAGGATTAAGTAAATGAGTTACGTTTGATATTTCATGTGAAAATGTTCCTTAAAGTCTCTACTTGACATGACACATGAAACAGATCAGTAGTGGGTATAACCGCCATGTGCCCGGATGATGCATTCCACCTTACATCTCATGCCTCCAGTCAGACGTTGGATCTGTTGATGGGTCAACAACAACAACCACTCCTGATGCAATGCTGCTTCCAATTGGCGTAAATCTTGTACAGGAGGATCTCGTGCCTGTATGCGTCGCCCCAGAATATCCCAAACATGTTCAAGGGGGTTCAAATCTGGGGCCCTCATGTAATCCATGTACTGCGGTCAAGTAGCAAGAGGATGGTTGTCAAAACGAGCAACGATGACTGTTTCTGAAACACAACACGGAATGTTCTGTTTATTCAGTGAAAATTCAGAATTACAGAGTAATGCTGATCTGCATCCTTGGTTTTCTTTGATTCACCATGGCCACCTTGTTTGGGTCCGACAGTTTCAGTCTTTGCCTCATCCTCGTTCTCCGAAGATCTTACCACCATGCAAGGAAGCGGTTTGAGTCTTCTTCTTAGGAGGGATGTAGAGCATATCAGATACAGAAGACTTCTGTTCATCTGAGGAACGCTTGTAAATTCTTACAGCTTCGCTGCGATGTCCTAAAAGGAAATGTTATTAAAGTGTAAACAATTGTAATACTGCATTTTTTCAAACTAAAACTATACCATATTTGTTTTTAATTCACAGAAGTGGAATACTAACAAATTTATTTTAGCATTATACACTAACATTTGTAATCGAATGTTCTTTTCCACCAGCGCTAACTTGTCAGATCACAGGCATACAAAACGATTCATTAGGAGGCATCATCCGTTAAACTGTTAATAACTGGTCATGACTGATGTAGTGAGACGTGTGTTGAAAGGCTGGTATATGACCGAACAAAAGTGAAACCTCATGTCAACCAGTTTCTCGAGGACTTCATTGTACACAAAAATCATCACATTGGGTACTGTTCTTCTGGACTAAGTAACTGCCTGCAAACCGTTACACCGTTTTCTTTTGTCTGAAGGTTGAATGTGTCTCGGCGATTTTAAGAATTATGTTTTGGATAAAATAGGACTGAATTTCATAAGCTGGTGTTGTTGTTCTGACAACCCTTAGTAAGCAATACAATCTGATTACACACAAAAACATTTAATTCTCGTCATTATGTAACACTTACCTGTTTGTTCACAAATCAACTGTTCGTCAATCCCAGCACGATAAAGGCGCGTTGCTGATGTGGCTCTTAAGGAATTATTCGTCTTCTGCCCTTCAATTCCCTCGCTGCACACATGCGTTTTACTGTGCTGGTAAGTGTGTTGTGGCCCAGTGGTATTTTTGAAAACCACTCCCCAGGCTTTGGCTTCTTCAGTGGAGTGAAAATAAAAGGCATCAGTCTTTTCGGCAACTGATTTGCTAAAATGGAAAAAGAAATTGATCATCAATTTTAATCAATGAAAATAAACTCATTTCTAAAAAAATGATCAAACTTTAGTGGAATATCAAAACCATTCTCAGATCGTCTATCCGCTGTACAGAAAGCATAAAGCAATTTATCACTTTAAAGTACAATATTTTAAGCTTTCTTCAGTAAACAATAAACATCATACCAAAGGCTCTTGTATTTTTTGAAACGCCGGATATAACATCTGTCTGGATATCATCAATTCTCATAGGCTCTCACTTGCTTAGGTGCGACTTTTCTCTGCTTAAGACCGCCAGCGTTGTTTTTCGACGCATCTTCTTTGTAAACCAAATAAGACCTTCCATTGGCGTCAGTGTATGGTCCAGTAATCTGAGGATCCTTATAAAGACGCAATCGTCAATGCTCATTTCTGCCTCTGAGCGAGAAATGTAGACCTGTAAAACATTCAAAATGAATTCATTAAGATATCTTCAAAGTTCTTTATTTACATTTTTAGTTATTAGATTTCATATCGGATTTATACTGTTGATTAAACTTGATGTTCTGAATACTTTCGCAAAGCCTTTTCAAATTTCTAAATTTCAACTAAAAAGTCTTCAATTATTTTGGCTATATTTAAACAATATTTAAACATGTTTTGATGCAGCTGTGAAAATTTTGAACTGGACATTAAAAAGTCGACGTCTCACAAGTGATTTTTCTACTTGACTCTTTCGGTTGTATTGAGATTAGAGGTTAGTTCAGCAAGTGTAGAAACCTTTATCATGTAAAAAATTCTCTTATATAATGTTGCATTTCAGGAAAATACAATGTATGTTAGTTACCTTTGCCTATCCTTAATTACTGAGTATGCAAATTTAGACGGGACATATAGACTAAAAATTGACCTGTATAACCTGAAATTTTCACTTACCATTCAAGTACAAAATGCTGTCCACCAGCTTTTGGGGGTTGTCATCACCTTAACACACCTTTCTCCCACAGTGTGTTTTCCTCCTCGTCAGTAATTATCTCGGTTGCTTTTCTCGCTGACAATGGCCAGTGGCCGCTCTTTCTTTCATTACTGCATCCAGAGCAGCCCTGGCCTCTCAGAACTCTTCATCCTCAAATATGTTTAAACCCGAATACATGCCCTTAGGGTGTGACTAGATGGGCCCAAATAGTGCGTAGATTGTACTAGAAGGATAGTCGGACCCGTCTTGCTTGGCAGCTTCAAAAACGAAATATTTAATGGCTGTATTTAATCCGGAAGCACTCATTTCTGATACCTGCGACTGTAGACATTCCATTGGCAAGTTAATATTTTCCTTCATGGGCCGGTTCCGCCTCTCTTCTTGCCATCTCTTGAAAACTGAAAGTGCCCAGTCAAGTTTATATTTAGTAGACTTTGGAACACGCTGTTCAGTCTTCTCAGAGAGAGTTTGTTCATCCAATGGGTCCTTAAAACGGTAATAAAAGTCATCATCATCACAACTCTCATCATCATCATGTTATTCGACCGCGTTATAAATAAATCATTATCCGTGATGTCCATCGTGTACCGCTAGGCTACTGCATTCAGCGTGAATGTGCCACGAGGTAGTGTTCACGAAAAGCTCGTGCAAAAAGTAACGTGACTAACAGCGCGGACGAGAAATGGCCCATTCCTCGTTGTACCCCTAAATACCGTTAAACGAAGCATAACATACTGAAAACATGTTATTAACGCTGTTTTTACGGTTTATAAGTTGGGTATCGGCAAGGTAAGACCTTGGCGCTTCGCGCCTCGATCTTACCTTACGGATACCCGAGTGCCGAGGTCTTACTTTCCCGACCATAACCGAGGAGGAGTGCTTTATCCTACACATCCAACCTGTTGTCATGAGAGATACACACCCAAACCATTACCGAGCCCCCGCTGTATGCAACAGTCGGTTTAATGTTCCTGGGGGTGTAGGCCGTTTTCCGGTGCCTCCTAACTCTCGTTTTTCAATCACTGACGTGGAGCAGATCCATCTCCAAGTTCTCAGATTCCAGTTCTGTCGCACAATACACCATGCTAAACGAGCAGCTTTGTGGTGATCACTCATCAAGGGACACTTTATGACTCATGTAGCCCCCCGTCCTGCTGCTTTCCTGACGGTTCTGGTGCTGAAATGATGATTGGGCAACCACAGCTGTTTCAGACGAGTACTTGTTAAAAAGGGTTCTCGGTGTATGAGACGAAGAAGGTCCCTGTCTTCGCGATGTGTCATCACAGGAGGTCTTCCGGATCTGGGACGGTCCTGGACATCACCGGTCTGAGCATGTTTCCCGACCTAACGGCATAGGGCAGTGTGATGATACCCCAAATTCCTGCGTTATGCATGCCGATTATTTGCCATCTTGTGGTGTTTGATAATCACCTTCATGCCATGGTCACACAAAGCAATTTTTAACGTTTGGATATACTGCTTTTAGAGATACTCAAGGGTAGCATGCTGCCTTGGCATACCATGCATAACACATGAGCTTTCGTCATACTGATTACATCATCTCGGGAAAACATTAATTTTTTATTTATCCTGCATTACTCCTTAATGCATTCACTGCTTACATTGCAACAAAACTGGGACAGCATATTGACGATGGTCCTGGGTGAAGATAAATAAACTGTTCCTGAATTCCTCTTTTATACTATGCCGTCGCCATCCCTGTGGCCTCACGTGACCTAGGTCACCACTTCACATCACTGCCTGTCGCGCTACAGCTAGGACTTGTACCAGCAGAGCTCTCATTTTGGATTTATTTAGACCTTCATACAACATGTTGTGAAGTTGTATGTGATTTATGTGGGCGTAAAAAGACTTTGTCTTTTTTTTCTGCCACATGCTATCTGTTCCCCGCCATTTTGAATTGTGTTACAATTGTTTGCCTGCCAGGGTAGAATATTTGTTTAAAATTCTCAGCTATGTATGTATAGCATATTTTATGTGTGTTTCAATACTACTAGCTTTGGCGGTTCATTGAGTTGCGTATATACAAATCACTGAATACACTTTCAACTCATTACAAAATTTGCCGATAGATTACTAATTGTCTACGGCAGTTTTTTACAGTCCCTTTTCATCAAATTATCTATATTGCGTAACTTATGCTTGCTCGTTGTACTAATTGTCGTGGAAAATAATCTATTAAAGATTTAACCAACTTATCCATGTTGTTTGGCATGTACGCAAATTTGTGCACCAAATTCTAAATGTGTTAATTCTTGTGAATACCCTACCTCTATTACATCATAACCATAAATTCCTATTTATGCTGAGAACCACACTACAAATTTTAATGAATTTTCAACAGATGTCCTCTTCACTGCCAACATTTCTAATAGTTATGAGGGAAACCTTATCCCTCGTCAGAGATGCCACTGCGCATGTGCAAGGCGGGAATCACCTCACTTTCTGTGTGTCCAGATGACAACGAGACAAATTATTTGTTACATACATCTGTACATGTGATTGCTGTTCCACACTTACAAGCCACACTAGACCATCTCAAGCTTCACTAAAGACAAGCAGTGAGCAGATTTACAAGCAGAGAACAGGGGTATAAGAAGGCAGAAATCTCTAGTAGTTGGTTGGTTGGTTTGTTGTTTAAGCCGCACTCAGCAATATTCCAGCTATATGACAGCAGTCTGTAAATAATCGAGTCTGGATCAGACAATCCAGTGATTGACATCATGAGCCTTAGATCCAAAAATTGGGATTGATGACATCCATCAACCAAGTCAGTGAGCCTGACCACCCGATCCCGTTAGTCACCTTTTACGACAAACATAGTCGCCTTTTACGGCAAGCATGGGTTTCTGAAGACCTATTTTACCCCAGATCTTCACGGGTCAACTGATCTAACGCAACTGATCTTGTTGCCTTTGTTATTGTTATTTTCCCCGTGAGTACCCGGATGATACACAATGCAACTGAGCGTGACCAGAGACTGGGCTACCGTCTGCAAGGACAGCTGAATATACTTAAAGGCTGGCCGCAATATTTGTTTTACGCATATTTGTATAAACACTGATTGGTTAATCGTGATCTATAAAGATTTCGACAAAGGGCGCATGTTAATTAATTTCTTCAGCCTAAACAAACAGACAAAAAGAACGGCGGAGCTCATCGGATCTCGTCATTTGGAAATACCCCAGATGGTTGTAAATTAATACTAAAAAAAGTATCCATGCAGTGAAAGCGTTTTGGGATTTCGGATTGCGTCGCTAATACGATTACCACTCCCTTGTTGTCATCCACGTTTTCATGTATAATCCTACACTTGTGTATTTGTCGTCATTCACTTGATGCTCAGTTAATGAATTTATTACAGGTACAATTAGTGGTAGCACCACTTAGATTACCTGAGGAAGGTTCCCATTTGGCATTTATTGTGTCTGGGGTAATTATTCAATCTAAATCCAGGTTTGAAGTGAGGTGAAATGTGTGTTATGTAATATGCACGTGGCAGACCAGCAAGAGGTGAATGATCAGTTGATTTACATTTTTTGGTAAATCAACGGATCGTTCCTAGTCATCAAAGGATTAACAGAAAATACGTTGATTGATTAATCACTGTTATCTTGCACAGTGGATATGTCAAAAGTGAGTATTTACATGTGTAGGTTTACTAAAACAAAGGGAATACACTTATATCATTGCGTGAAGTGCCGATGTAAAAACAAATTACTTTGTTCATAGGGTTAACTGATAATATGTTGATTGATTGGTCATTGTTATCTATCACTCAATGGATTTTTTAGGAACCGTGGACGTTATGAAAATAGTTGTCACGTGGGCTTTCTCAGCTGACCCTTGAGACATGACACCTGTGTGAAACACCTGAAACAACCCAAGTGATCAGTTGAGAAACGAACACGGGTTATAATATCCCGAAACGATATGTATCTTTTAAAATATTTGATTGTTACAGAGACATGTGACATCGATTAAGTTTCTTTGTACAGCTGCAGACGAGTGGGATATTTTTCCTTTGTATGGATATTCACGGATACATTCCTCGAACAAGGAAGCTCCCTAAAATTTATACACATAAATTGGGTAGGTTGTAATTATGGTATTTGCATTTTGTTTTTCTTCATTTGCTGTAGCATTGAACCGATTCGTCCTTGTTTCTTTACGTCTTGGTTGGGAAATTCTTCAATGCGCGATAGATGTTGTTTCACAGGTCTTTTCCTTTGTAAGCTTGTATATATTACCGTCAATTTGTAAAATGTGATTCTCTCAGGCAATTTATAAAATGTGTAAATATTTCATTTTGACTAAAAAATCTGTCCAGATTGATTAAGACGATCAAAAGGGCCTACAAACATCACAACAGATTATTATGTGGGATTAGAAGCCAAACAACATAGAAATGTACTTTTCAACGTTACATTTTCAGTCTCTTGGTGATGACATAAAACATCAAAATGTTTGGAATTCGTTATCATAATCATACAGATGGAAATGTTTTTCAGTCCCTTTGTAAAATAACTGAATATTTAGGCGTTTAATAAATTTGAAAATGTTACACATTTTGACGGTAAAAAAATATACACACTATAAAAAAAGCAATGCTCAGGTGAAATATTTACTTTGTGTTGCCAGTCAAAATAGTGTAAACGAAAATCGCAAAATTACCAAGCAAGTGACTTATCAAAACTTCGTCACCATTACCGTTGCTACCCACAAAGATACCTACATTTCCTTATTATCTCGAAAACTGTATTTCATTTTGTTGATCAATGTGACCATACGCCCTTATTACTACCCATAAAAGTGAATAATGCGCTTACGAATGGCACAGCAGAGGTCGCGAACTAGTCTAGATTTCTGCTATACATCCGGGTACTCACTGGGAAAAAACAATAACAAAAGCAACAACCAGTCCCGGGGAATTGCGTTAGATCAGTGCCCCTTTAAGATGCCCTCAACGTAAACACTGTTCGTCCTACCATTGTTTGAGATTGCTGGCCACACCATCACACAAGTTCCACCAAATCTATCAACTTCCTGTATTCAGTTTGGGGCAAATACTAAATGTTTATGTCTTTACAAGAAACATCTTCCATCTGGACACGAAGCAAAAAATATGATGCATCACTGAACCACACAGTTTTCTATTGCTGGTGAAGCCACACTGTGGACACAACACCACTGACATAGTTGGTGATGCTGGTCCATTAAAAAGACACATCAAACAGGCTGTCTTGTTCAAAGACTTGCCTAACATTGATGGTTCCTCACCATCTAGACTGATATTCTATGCAAACTTGGTATGGCGGATGCTGTAGAGGTTGCTGTGTGGGACCTTTGCCATTGGTGACAAACCTGGATGTAACAGTCCAAGGCCATGGTTGGGGCACATGAAGCCACACTGGATTTGGAAAAGTAACATGTTGTCCCTTGGAGTTGGTAATGATTCCATGCACCCTTGGGACAGAAACCTATGATTGTGGGTTTGAATCCCAGTTCGCCATGATTATGTTTCTAGGTTTGTTAGTACCATACCTGTGGATGTGGGTTTCAGCGGAGTGGTAAATGTCTGAGACCTGCATCACTTCGGGCTTTCCTCCAACATTAAGCTGATACGCTGTGATATAACTGGAATACTGTTAAAAGCTGCGTTAAACCCAACTCACTCACTCACTCACTATGATGCTTGGGGATGCATGAAACGCCCTGGCAATGGCCAACCTGGATTCACCTGTTTTAAGGCACCCAATTTTTTTCCTCCTACTTCCCTCAGATGCAGCATGTGTTTGCTGTTGTATAGTCACCTAGATAAAATAGACAGGTAAACAAAAACTATGTATTTTTATGCTTTTATAGGCCTTGTGTTCATGTTTCACATGCAGATTGCACACAGGCAATGATTACGTTGTTAGTGTTTTACAAGTGAATAGTGGATTTGCAAATTTGTGATGAAAGTGCATGCACTTAGCAGTTTTCTGAAAGATGGCAGAATGTACATAATCGAGTGGTGTGGATCAGACATTCCAGTGATTGATATTATGAACAGTCACCCAATTTGTTGTTGACATGCCATCTACCAAATCACAGAACCTGTCCAAAATTAGTCACCTCTCACGACAAGCAATGGGGTGCTAGGGACAACATTCTACCTCATGTGAGAATCCTCTACCAGTATATAATTACCTGCAAAATATAGTTGATTACAAATCTGATAGCAACCATGTTATTGTGTGCACTACAGGCAGCCGAGGTGTTGGAAGGTCTGTTGCAAGCAAGGGACGAACTAACCAGGTAAGTTTCTGCTAGCTGTTAGTTATATTTACGTGATAAAATGATTATTTTTCTTGAACATTGCTGTGGCTTACATATTGCCGATATGACCTTAAATATTAACTCACTCATGCACTTGAACATTGCAAAACCAATATGATATTGTTTCTTTGTAGTATTCAGAAACCAAATGATTAGCACCAAGTCACTTACTTACTGCAAAGCAAAAAAGTTAGATTTTACACAATTTTGCCCAAAAATAATTTTGTTGTACCTAATAATAAAAGTGCAAACGGGAACATATGCTACAAGTCAAAATAAGGAATTACATCGGACATAATTTTTGTCACTGATGCATCAAATTTGGAATCTTTATACTTAGATCTAAATACAATGATAAAAACGACACATGCATGTGCCTTTTGAATAAGAATGTTCCTTAATTCACAAACAATATGTATCTTAATTGAGGGAACATAATACTATAGCATTAATACAACCTCTTTACTTATGTAGACTTATTTCCCTGTTGGAAATTTAGGCAAATCTTGTTGTCAACCCGCAGTCGTTCATCCATAGCACACTGACAGCCCATACAAATGTCACTCACTTCGTCAGATACTCGCATTTCCTTGTTAACCCATCCAGACAGGACATGTTTTTTCTTCTTGTTTAAGAACTGTCTGATAGACTTTGAAGAGTGCCATTTCCTATCACTGCAGTAGTAAGTACAGCGGGAGTTCTGGGCCACCATGTGCTTGATTAGGTCCATACACTGAAAATGCTTCCATATAGGTCTTATACATCAGTGAGTGAGTGAGTTTGATTTTACGCCGCTTTTAGCAATGTTCCAGCAATATCACGGCGGGGGACACCAGAAATGGGCTTCACACATTGTACCCATGTCAGGAATCGAACCCTGGTCTTCGGCGTGACGAGCGAACGCTTTAACCACTAGGCTAACCGACCGCCCGTATACATCAGTATCTGTTCATATATATATAGCCTTCTCATCATGGACTAGTGGTCTTGGGGTAGTGTTTGCTCGTCACGGCGAAGACCTGAGTTCAATTCCCCACATGGGTACAATGTGTGAAGCCCATTTCGGATGTTCCCCACGTGATATTGTGGGAATATTGCTAAAAGCCGCTTTGGACTATAAACAAACACTCACTCACTCACTTGTCATGGACTATGCCCCAGTGGGCCGCTAACATTAAATTTTGCTCAATCTTGTTTACACATCCTATCTTGATTAAATTTAGTGAATATGCTTACTATATTTTTGGTTAAGAATACACTATACACTTGAATCAACTGTTGTGTTCAGAAAGTTCAAAACAAAACAACAAAGCTCCACTCTTATTTACTACATTATGAGGATTTCTGCCCAGAGATATAAGTAAAGTATACATAGCTACAACATTGTTTTGTCAGATTAGCAGAAGCAACAATAATCAATGGAAAATGTGACTCAAATATTGGCAAATAGAACTTCCTGTTTTCAGAAAGAACTCTTAAAACTCTAAAAAAATCGAGGTCTAAATCTAGAATAAAGTCTTCAATGTGTTACAGCATCAGGTTGCTTGTTGGCTAGGTATATAATAGGTATATTCCCAATTCTCATCAAAAGCAATTCAAAGTTTCATCATTTTCTAGTTGGTCTTGCCCACATTTAGTATAGTCAGGTGACATGTTGATATGTTGAATATGTCCACAGAGGAATGAGTTGAAATTATCTGTTGACTATGTTACTGTTGACCACACTCACGTTTTTTCCAAATACGTTTACGACTTGTCACAAAGTGGAACAAGCATGTTACAATTCAAAACAAATATAAAATTATTTGGAACATAACCCTGCTTGTTCAGAATAAATAGTTTGATAAGTCACATTTTGTTGTTTTGAATACAATGACTTGTGGCACTTCTTTTCCCTGCACAGAAATCAAACAAAAATGTGAAATGCATCTTGTCAGTATCTTTAGAGTTGTAACAATAAACAAAACAGGCTATAATATTGTATGTTAAAGTTAGAATTAGAATGGGAATAAACCTACTGCTATCCCCGAAAGTTGCCTTTGTATGCTAATACTGTGTTCCTTCGTTATTGCGCTCTTCAATATGGCGCTAACTCGGTTATAGCGCACAGTAAAGCATGGCTCCCAAAATTTACTTAATAAACTCAATTTTTCCAATGACACGATATTTACCCCATCTAAAAAAAATCAGCTGATCACCAGTATCACATAACACTGGAAACACCTGTCAACAAACCCAAACTGAAGTACGCTATTTAATCCCATTATGATACAATCTGGTTATAAAAAGGTGTTCATTGTTTATCTGGACTTTTGTTTTAAATATATTTTGCAAAATTTCATTCAATAATGTTTGCACTAGTTTCAGCGAAGCAATCAGTAGATCGCACAACTCACCATTATTGACAGCAACCGCTGTCAGACTACCGTAATTTGACGCCTTGAAACAAAGTTTCGTTGCAAAAGAATGGGTACAAATATCATAAATGCCATACTTTGACTCCTTAAAAGTCATATTTGAGGCAGCTTGACCACCGGTATTCAATGTCAACATAACGTTTTCGCAATCGAAATACATGAAGAATGGTAAAGTGGCAAGGGTGACCAGTCAAATTGCTCCATACGTAAAAATATCCTGCAATAGCAATCTCCTGTACCAAAGCGCTACGCTTATGGGTCTTATAATTTTAAAAATACGAGCGGTGTTCAATAAGTTTTGCAACTTGGGCATTTGTGTTTACACAATCAATGTCAACCTGTGGCAGGTGTGACACTTGTCATAACATCAGGTTGACACGTGTCATAAAGAATTGCAAAAATCAATTCGCAGAAACGCTGTGGGATGTTAACACGTGGTATTCTACTTTTGCATGACAACGCTTCGGTTCACAAGTCAAGAATTGCATAGGCCGCCATATGTGAATGTGGATTCGAACAGTTAAATCACCCACCCTACAGCCCAGACTTAGCCAGCCCCCAGTGACTTTTTCCTGTTTCGGCAAATGAAATCTGCCCTACGTGGAAGACACTTCCAGGATCACGAGGACATAAGGCTGCCATAGAGATGTGGTTAGAGGGCCAATCAGCGGATTTCTATAAAAGTGGTATTAAAAGCTTGAAGGACAAATGGAATAAGTGTATCGAGGTGAATGGAGATTATATTGAAAAATAAAAGTGCAAAAAATATTCTGCAACTTTGTCTCATATTGAAGTTGCAAAACTTATTGAACGCCCCTCGTAAATAGTGAAAGCTGCAACTAAAATAACATGATATTGGAAAATATTATTCTTGATGAAATAATAATTTCAGATACAATTTCTTCCGACCATTGCATCAAAATTCTTTGAAGTTGTGTCATTGGGTACAGGTGGAGGACATCACAGCCGAGACATCGGCTTCCTCACCAGCTCCTCCCACTCCAGTTGATCAACCATCTCCTGCATTCTCCATGAGTCTAATTCAACAACATTTTAGTGAACAGCAGAAGATGATGAAGAATATCTTTGAAGTCCGCCAAGACGGACGAAGAACTGGAGAATATGAAGAGTGCAAATGAGACAGCTCTGGCGAAGATAAGTCTCCCGGTCACGAGACCACATGGGGGACTGCCATCTGTCAATGCACACAGCTGTAGGGCCTACCCCAGTCGACTGTACCGACCAGCCAGCTGAGCAGTACGGTCAGCCATCCAACCAGCCCTGTATAAGCCAGCAGACTTTTCCCTACTGTGAGACAATACTGTACGGGCCAAGGACCAGCCATCCACCCACGGCAATCCAGCTGACTGACCAACTGTCCAGCCAGCAGACTGTTAGGACACGGTATGGCTACAGCATGGACTCCGTACCGACCGTCCAGCTGCTCAACTTACCGTATGATCTCCAACCAAGCCAGCCACATCGACCAACCAACTGTTCAGCTTCAGGAAGAAGGAACCGATTTCCACTGTATGCCACGTTCCCCCTTTAACTTAGATGAGTTCACAGAAAAAATAACTAATTCCATATCTGTAATGATTGACAAACGTATGCAATCAATGTCTCATGAAATCTCATATCTAAAATAATCCGTCGCACAACCCGAGATTCAAAAGATATCTAAGGCTGAATATGACAGGGCATCCTCGCGCAGCAGACACGCGCAGCAGACACGCGCACAGTCATGCTGAATCAGATTATTATGAGGACTGAGATAGAGCAAGAATTCAGCCACTATAGGTATCGTTATTTCCCCGTTTAACTGCTTTCTCATTCTTGCCTCGACAAACTTGTCCCATCTGTTATTGTATAGGGCAGATGATGCTGGTCTCAATGAGCTTGCCACTCTTCGTGCAGCTGATTTAGAGTAACCGGCGGCTTGCATTTTATTCGAGATAACTTCCAAGCGTGAAGATGGAGGTTGTCGAGGCGGACGTAAAATATGTCCGTTTTTGGTTGTCTCAATAGGTCGTGACATACTGGGAGTTTCAGAGGTTCTTCCACTAGGAGTTGTAGTAACCTTGGAAACCAAGCCCTGTTCGGCCATGCCGGGGCTATGAGGATTATGACACAGTTTGTTTCCTCTGTTTTCTTCAGTACTCTGTCTAGGAGAGCCCATGGGCGAAAGGCGTACGCAAATATTACCTCCCATTCCATGGATAGAGTGTCGACCTGGAGAGCTAACGGGTCTGGTACGGGGCTAGCTGACATAGACTGGTAGTTTGTTGTTAAGACATGTGGCGAATAGATCTAGGTTTGGAGTATCCCATAGGTGGGTTATCCACTTGAATACTTCGGGATGTAGTGACCATTCCGTGGGATACCATCTTGTTTTTCTGGGATAGGTAATCTGCAAGGATATTTAGCTTGCCCGGTATATGTCTCACTTCGATTCTGCAACTCACTGAGTCTACCAAGGCATATAAGCGTGTAACCTCCTTCAGTAAAGGCTGAGACTTTGTGCCCCCTTGATGCTGTATGTAAGCGACCACGGTCGAGTTG